CCGTTATTTCTAATAGACCTTTACAATAATTAGACATTTAGACTCCGTTGAGTGTGTTACTTTGACAAAATTAAAATTCATTTAAAGGAAAAAAATGGTCAAATTCACAAGAATGTTTTCAACAATGCTTTTAGTAACAGTAAAATCTAAATCTTCAGACTTAGGTGACTGGTTAAATTACAGCATACCTATAATGTAGGTAACTGACTATGTAGTTAATTTAAATAATATTGCAGAAAAAAATTTAATAACATGGAGAGACGTTCATATTATAAAGTGGAAGATAACAGCTCAAAATGCAGTTAAAATGGAATATATGAAAATATTAATAATTTTAGAAACTCCCTCTTTTCTTTTTATGATTTTCCAAATTTTCTTGTAAATAGTAATTGTATTAAAAAATAATTTTAAGGGGCCTCCATGGTGGCTCAAGGCATTAAAGCACAGCACTATGAAGCTGTCCGCAACCTCTGTAGCACGAGTTCAATCCCCAGTCGATCCCCGGCTGGCCAGGGAGCTACCCATATGGTGCAGCAGACCTCTCCTGACTCGTCCGCTGCTCCCCGCAGCAGTGTATTTCAGTAGATCTGCCTATTCTGTTCCCCACTCTGTCTCTGGTGAATCCTCTCTCTCACACACACACACCCTGTACCTCTTACCTGTACCCCATTTCTTATATGCATAAATAAATCTTTTTAAAAAATAATTCTAAAATGAATGCAACTCATCACTGTATTTAAAGTCACTTGATGAAGCTTCCCAACATTCAAGCCAAAATTATTTTTTCTCTCTCTACTGTGTATGTACCATCATAGGAACATTTGAGTTGTCTGTCTTATAACACAGGTAACTGCTCATGCCTGTTCTCACACTGGATATAACATGCTAAAGACAGGCTCATGGGTATACCTTCAAAGTACAGACTGAATGGAAAACGCCTGTTCTGAAAACCATCCCCCCAAATGAAAAATCCTAAAAATGTTCTAAACATTACTTAAAGGGCCTCCCTGGTGGCCCAGCGGTTGAGCGCTGGGCCTGTTCCATCCCCTGCTGCATCCCGGCCAACAGAGGAGGGTCCCACATGGCGCACAGACCTCTCCTGCCACCCGCTGCTCCCCTCAGCAGTGTACTTTGGTCCTTCTGCCTGCTCTGCTCCCCACTCTGGCATGGTGAATTCTCTCACCCTCCCGCGCTTCTGACTGTACCCAGTGGTTGTATAAATAAATAAATCTTTAAAAAAATAAATAAATAAAAATAAACGTTACTTTAAAAAAATACATATAAATTGAGTGACTAGTTTTGAGAAGGATAGCAATCACAAACACTATAAATCTGATTGATTGCTCCTTAGTCCCATCCCACAGATATGTAAGTCTCAAATTAACTTCCAAAATATTTTTTCTTATATCTGATAGCTTCAGAGAGTGTTTAAATATGTATCTTCAGGGTTTCTTACTGTATGCAAATTTATCATTGCAGAGGATTAGTTACTTAAGAATTTCGCTAGTAGAACATCAGTTATCCAAAGTATTACTACAGCTGAGTTAAAAATAAAATTAGCATTGTTTGTCTTTATGCAAGTATACAATTCCCAAACCCAAGAGATATTTAAGAGTTTACTGCAGCAAATATGGGGGAAAAAAATCATAATATTCACGGTTATTTTTAGAACTAGTTTCAAATTCCTAATAAATGAAGCAGCCCAAATTCTAGAAACAGAAATTTTCTGGGCAAAAACCAGAAAACTCAACTCATTCTAATATGTAAGGGACTCTTAACTCTTCGCTTTAAAAAGGAGTAAGCATTCAGTACATGTAATAAAAAGTCATTAAAGAAATTCTAGTATTTTATCGTAGTGAGACTATTATCTCCATGAGATCAACCCTCACTTTTTAGAATGCTTTCAGAATAGGCCATGTATGAGTAAAAGGATTCACAAAGAATAGAATGTTATGAAGTAAAGAGCTATTTTATCCACCCTTATGCTCTGATCCCCAGAGGTCTGAGCAGGGGAGTGTAAGGACAAGGCAAAAGACCTTTTACAGAGCAAATTTGAACTACTGAGTGACAAGTGCAGAATAAGGAATTAATTTAATTCTAATAATAACAATAGAATGTATAGACTTTCATCTCCTAAATTGTTTATCAACTTTTAAAAACAAACAAGTTAGGTAACAATTTAACTACAAAAGGATAAAGAACAACTTGCCTTACAAAATGTACCATTATTGATTTTATGTAAGTTACATGCAATATAGATTTAAGTTATTACATAGAGGAAATAAAGTACGAAAAGATAGAGCAAAAAATGAAATTTATTTGAGCATCTTGAAAATATTAATATAATGAAACATGGTTCATTTTACAATCTATCTTCCTTTATTTTTTTCCAGAATATAGCTTCTACATTAAGGAAAACACTCCGAAGAGTTATAGAGAACACAAACCAAAGTATAATACAGAACATAGAACAGCAATTACTTGGAAGCAGAGATTAGGGGTTGACTTCAAGAAATCACAACAGAACTTCTGGGGTGATAGAAATGTTCCAAGTCATAATTGTGATGATAGTTACATAGCTATATGCTTTTGTCAGAACTCATGACAGTTCCACTAAAACTAGTTACAGATTATTGTAAATAAATGATAGGTAACACAATAATGTCGACATAAAAAATACACTCCTAACAGTTGGTCATAGTTGATCATCATTCCAATCATCTAAGAAATTTTATTGTAAATTTATCGTGTTTCTGTCACACAAGGCTAGAGATGTCATGAGTAAAAAGTAGCTGAGTAATACATTATTTTGTAGTCCCAGTCATAGCAACAGAGTGCAATGCACTACCACCAATGCTGGAATTTACTACATATTATCTTATATAACTGGTTAGTTTTTCTCATGAGATAGTCTTTAGGCAAAAGAAACAAAGTGCCATGTATTTAGAAGCATCCTGTAAGACCTAGCCTATTTCACAAATTAAAGCATTATTTTTTTCATGGATTTACACCATGAAATACTTAAGACAATCATCACTTATTTATTGATACTAAAAAGGAACCAGTTAGAGAAAAAACAAAAAAATAGCTATCTTGATTTCTCATACTGAACAATGTTATTTTAGAAGATGAATACTTTTTCATAACTTCATTTAAGAAAACTGCTTCACAAATCTTAATAAAAACACTTAAGCAGTTTAATAATAATTAGTTAAAAATTAATTGTATAGTAATCAAAACAGTGTGGTACTGGCGAAAGAACAGACAATTAGATCAAAGGAACAGAATAGAGAGCCCAGAAATAGACTTACACAAATAACAGTCAACTGATCTTTGACAAAGGAAAAAAATGCAATTCAATGAAGGATAGTTTTTTCAACAGATAGTGATGGAACAACTGGACATCTACATTAAAAAAATTAAACCTAGACACAGACCTTACACCTTCATAAAAAGGAACTTAAATGGATCATAGATCTAAATATAAATGCAAAACTATAGAACACCTAGAAGATAATATAAGAGCTGTGCTTTGGTTTGACCATGACTTTTAAGCTATCACAGCAAAGGCATGCTCCAGATTTAAAAAGTAATAATAATTTAATAAGTTGAACTTCATTGAAGTTAAAAACTTTTGCTCTGCAAGGTGTTGTTAAGAAAAATAAGAAGACAGGGGTCACCCTGGTGGCGCAGGTGGTTAAACACAGTGCTGTGAAGCTGTCCGCAGCCTCTGCAGTACCAGTTCAATCCCCACCGGCCTTGGAGCAACCCACATGGGGAGCAGACCTCTCCTGCCTCTCCACTGCTCCCCTCAGCAGTGTATTTCATCAGTCTGCCTGTTCTGTTCCCAGCTCTGTCTCTGGTGAATCCTCTCGCCCTCCCACGCATCTGGCGTGTACCCTGGCTCTTGTATAAATAAAATAAATCTAAAAAAAGAAAATGAAAATAATAAAGAATATGAGAAAAAATAATAAAAAAAGAAAGAAAGAAAAATAAGAAGACAACCCAATAGATGGGTAAAAAATTACAAAAGATACTTCTAATAAAGGACTCATCCAAGATATACAAAGAACTCTTAAAAATCTACAAAAAGAAAACAACCCTAATGAAAAATGTGCAAAACATCTGAACAGACATTTCACCAAAGATGACATACTGATGGCAAATAAGCAAATGAAAATGTTCAACATCATATGCCACTAGGGAATAACAAATTAAAACAATGTAATACACTACATACTTACTAGAATGACTAAAATCCAAAATACTGACAATAGCAAACACTGAGGAGGATGTGAACCAACAGGAATTCTCATTCATTTTTGGTGGGACTGCAAAAGCACACAGCCACTTTGGAAAACAATTTGGCAATTTCTTACAAAACTAAACAGACTCTTACCCTACAATCCAAAATTCATTCTCCTTGCTATTTATTCAAATGAATTAACAACTTAGAGGCACACAAAACCCTGCACACAAATGTTCATAGCAGCTTTATTCAGAACTTCCAAAAGTTGGAAGCAGACAAAATGGTCTTCAAAGAATGACTGGATAAAAGTACTTTGGTACATATATACAATGGAATATATTTAATACTAAAATAATAATAATAATAATAATAAGCTACAAGTCCACTAAAAGACATGGAAGAACCTTACATGTATACTGTTAAATGAATAAAATCAGTATGAAAAGATCACATTACCATATATCCCAACTACCTGACATAAAGGACAAGACAAACTACAGAGACAATAAAAACATCACTGGTTGCCAGTGGTTCCACAGGAGAGAGGGAGGAAGGGGTGAATAGATGATTTAAGGGAGGCCTTGAGCAGTGAAACAATTCTATATGATACTGTAAGAGCAGACACATCAATCACTATACATTTGTTTAAAACGCGGAGAAAATCTAACACAAAGACTGAAATCCAGTTTAAAGTAAAGACTTATACTGATAACAAGGCATCAGTGTTAGTTCATCAACTGTAAAAATTTACCACTCTGATGGAGATCTGATGGTAGGGAAAGTTGAGGGAAGATGAACACTATGTACTTTCCACTCCATTTTGCTGTGAATATAAAAGATTTCTTTTTAATTAATGGCATAAAGCAAGTTCTTTCCAAAATAAAGCGCAGATCTCCCATGTGTGTGTGTTTTTTTAAAGATTTATTTTTATTTATTTATGCATACAAGGACTGTGGTATAGGCCAGAGGTGCGGGAAGGTGAGAGGATTCACCAGAGACAGAGTAGGGAGCAGAACAGGCAGATCTGAAATACACTGCTGAGGGGAGCAGTGGGTGAGACTGGAAAGGTCTGCTGCACCATGTGGGTCAGCTCCCTGGCCAGGGATGGAATTAGTGCTGCACTGGCTGTGGACAGCTTCATAGGGCTGAGACTTAACCCCTTTAGCCACCAGGGAGGCCCTCCTGTGCGTTTTAATATAGACATGTAACACAATGGCTCTCCATATATATAAAACAATCTACCATTTCCGTAAAACATGTCAAATCCTTTCAAAAGTATTTTTCTCCAAAAGAAATTTATGATTTGTGCTTTTCTAAGAAATTCAACAACTTTTCCATATTGAGGGGCCATTCATACTGTCAAACTCTTAAGTTGTTTTTTTTTTAAAAAAAGATTTATTTATTTATTTGTTTGTTTGTTTATTTATACATACAAACACTGGGTACAGTCAGAAGCGCAGGAGGGTGAGCGAATTCACCAGAGCCAGAGCGGGGAGCAGAGCAGGCAGAAGGACCGAAGTACACTGCTGAGGGGAGCAGCAGGCGGCAGGAGAAGTCTGCGCGCCATGTGGGACCCTCCTCCGGTGGCCGGGGGGACAGCCGGGGATCAAACCGGCGCTGCAGAGGCTGCAGGCAGCTTCGCAACCCAACGCTTAATCACTGCGCCACCGGGGAGGCCCTCAAACTCTTAAGTTTTACAATGACAGCTTCTGTTTTACAATCAAACTTTCAAACAATCATGTACCTAAGGCATATAAAGAAACTCATGCACCAAAGCAACTGAAGTTTCCCAATACATGTCAAATCCAGGGTTTTAACATATTAGACGCAATTAAATTCTTCATTCACTCTCTTGACATTTATTGCTTTATCTCCCAATATATGAAAAAAATTATGCCTACATGCCTCTCAGTTGTTAAGAAGTTAATAATTTAAATGTGTCACATAAAAATTAAGCAAGTTTAGACATCTAGTTTCAAAAAAAACTTAAATTCTAACATGAAGGTTTTTTTTTAACCAGTTTTTTTTTTTAACCACTAGCTTCACAAGAAGCTACCCAAAATTATTGAATTATGGCAATAATATTTTGTTTTTTGAGGTAAGGTTGGTTCATTAACACCATATATGTTTTAGAAGTATAGGTTCACATCTTTTCAAATGTACATTACTACATCATGGCCACTAGCAAGTACAAATAATCTTCTACCACAATCCACTGGGACCCATCTGGTGGCCTCAGTTCTGCACTCAGGGGCCAAGGATTTGTCTTGATTTGGTTCTCCATTCTTTGCTGTGTTTCTTTATTTTACACACTTGAGTAAAATCTTCCAGTATTTTTCTGTCTTCTTCCGACTTACTTCTCTTAACATAATCCCCCCCAGTTCTATCCATGTTGTCACAAAAGGCAAGAGTTTCTCTGTTATAAGAGTAGTATTCTGTTGTGTATATAAACCCCACATCTTCTTTAGTCACTCATCTGTCTTTGGGTACTTAGTCTGTTTCTATAATTTTGCTATTGTAAATAGTGCTACATTGAACATTTGAGTGCATTTATCTTTCTGAATTAGTGTTTTCATATTCTTTGGATAAATACATAGGAATGGAATTACTGAATCATATACTAGATCTATTAATATTTCAGAAACCTCCGTACTGTTTTCCATAGAGATTGGACCAATCTACATTCCCACCAACAGTGCATGATGTCTATACCCTTGCACTCACTGGGCTTTTTGATATAGGCCATTCTAATAGATATGAAGTGATCGCTCATTTCACTATGATTTTGGTTTGCTGATGATAAGTGATGATGTACATTTTTCATGCACCTGTTGGTCATCTCTGTCTTCTTTGGAGAAATATTTACTTACATATTTATCTCTTCTGCCCATTTTTTTGATTGGGATTTTTTGTTGTTGAGTTGTATGTCTGACTAGTTAGGAGAAGCATGAAAAAAGAAAAATAATATGTATATTAATTTAATTTTAAGCTTAATAATTAAGGAGAACAAAGTTTCCATTAAATGGGGCAGTAAAAAGAAGCTCATTTCATTTTGGAGATGAATTTTGAAAAGCTGTCAATATCTGATTAATAGGGCTTAGGAGTAATCAAGACCAGACTGATATTCTGTTATATCATTTCTACAAATCATCATGCTGGAGGTGAAGGTTAATAGCACATGATCAGGGGCCTCCCCGGTGGCGCAGCGGTTGAGCGCTGGGTTGCGAAGCTGCCCGCAGCCTCTGCAGCGCCGGTTCGATCCCCGGCTGCTCCCCGGCCACCAGAGGAGGGTCCCACATGGCGCGCAGATCTCTCCTGCCGCCCGCTGCTTCCCTCAGCAGTGTACTTTGGTCCTTCTGCCTGCTCTGCTCCCTGCTCTGGCTCTGGTGAATTCTCTCACCCTCCCGCGCTTCTGACTGTACCCAGTGCATGTATAAACAAAACAAACAAAACAAACAAACAAATAAATAAATAAAACATGCCTCAAAAAAAAAAAAAAAAGTACATGATCAGATGAAGTCACTCAAAAAGAGAAAATTAAGCTAGAGAAAACAGACTGAAAATAGGGTTTTAGAAATGCTCCTAATTTAAGAGGTAGGCAGTAAAAAGAATGATAGGACTATAAAGAGGGATGGAGGAAGGGAAGGAGAGAGCATAGCAGAATCAGCAGAAATAGCAAATAAAATAATAGAGGTGACAGAAAGAAGATAATGTTGCCCCAACCTTTACTCCAGAAACTGAAAATAAAAAAAAACCTAAAAGAACAAAAACTAATGTCTACCTCATCATCAATGAAACAAAGACAGCCACAACCACAAACCACAAACTTACAAAAAAAAGAAAAAAGAAAAAAGTCTGCCAAATTATATATCTGGAAACAAAATGAGCCATAATGCTGAGAAGCAATTACCACCACCACCACCCCCCACCAGGATCTCTGGCAGGATCCCATTCAAGTAAACTCAGATTAAAGATGTTTAAGTACCTACCTGGGAGAGATTAAGAAAGATTTCCCCAGAAAATCATGTCTTTACCACAGAAGAAGAGCGGAAAAACCAACATGACATTTTTGTTGTCAATGGCCTAGCCTCCTAACACAGAAAGACTGCTAAATGAGGTGAAAGAGAAGGAAGGTATTTATTACCAAACCTACACAAACACCTATGACTCACAGGACCCCAAAGTCACAAAGACCTTCACAGCACTACAAAGTGAGAGAAGACATTGGGTAAAGGAATGTTTAACATTAGAAATCCAAATGGAAGTGCAAACTGATGTCATGTATCCCCTCTCCCTACCATTCAATACTTAAATCCAACCTCACACTTTTTTAAGATAATGCCTATTCTTAATGGACTTGAACCCACTCAAAAGTGAGTATGAAGCAGCAAGGAATCAGCAAAGAATTTATACAGAACAACTGAGAGGTAGGGTGGAGGAATATAAACAGAAAGACAGATGAAGAAAATTGTCTCAGGAAACAGAAGGAGGACTCACAAGTAATATCACCCTTAAAAGAAATTACTCAGATGTGGGCTACCTTAAAGTAAAAGGACTCAGAGAAAATTATTAAATATCCCAGAAAATATAAGACAACTAAAGGAAATGATAAATTGGCAGGCTAAGAAAAAGCATTAGATGAAAAAAAAAAATTAAGGCCACCAAAAAGAAGCAACAACAACAAAAAACCAGACCACTCAGTGCTGAAATAAAGAGAAAAAGTACACAAAATGAATTTTTTTAAATATAATAAGATGAGATGATAAACAGAGAAAGTTAAAGAAAATCAAACAATACACATCTAATATTCCTGTAAGAAAAGAAACAAAGTGGAACAGAAAAAATAAAACGGAAGTAATATAACAGAAGAAAACTTTTCATAAATGCTGGGAGGGGAGTGGGGCAAGAAGGACATACTTAAGGAAAATATTTCAGAAAGCTGAAGTCAAAACAATTAATATTAAGTCCTATTTATATGACTTATAGTGATTATAGAATTTAAAAGAAAGAGAAAACAATTTCAATGTTTGTCTGTGTGTGCATTTGTGTGTATAAAATCAAGACTGGCCTTACTTAGACTTTTCTGCAATAGCCATTATCTGAACCATTATCTGAAGATGTTACAGCAATGTCCTTAGCATTTTAAGAAAGATATGAAACCCAATTACATAATATCCAAATTGTCCATAAAGTGTAAAAATAACAACCTGTGAACATTTTCAAGCACTCAATTATGAAATGCAACACCATGAACTCTTCTTGGGAAAAAAAAAAGTAACACACAAACACACAGAAATACATAAACACATATCAGTATAGTATGTCAGGAGATACATGTATCCATGTCACTAAAAACAAACAAAAAAAACCACTAATAAATAAATTCTCCCAGCCAAGAAATGAATCACAAGAATCTCCATTAAAGTATGGATATCTGGGGCCTCCCCAGTGGTGCAGCGGTTGAGCGCTGGGTTGAGAGTCTGCCCTCAGCCTCTGCAGTGCCAGTTCGGTCCCCAGCCGCCGGATGAGGGTCCCACATGGCGCACGGACCGCTCCTGCCGCCCGCTGCTCCCCTCAGCAGTGTACTTCGTCAGTCTGCCTGCTCTGCTCTCCGCTCTGACTGGTGAATTCTCTCACCCTCCGGCGCTTCTGACTGTACCCAGTGCTTGTATAAATAAATAAATCTTAAAAAAAAAAAAAAGTATGGACAGCTGTGTTGGTATAAAGGACTAGATTAATTTTTACAGGATGAAGCTGGAAGAGGTTCTTGATCCTCTAAAAGAATGGCTCTTTAGAGAGAAAAGCCATCTTTATAGAGTATGATAAAAATACAAGGCTGCTTTAGTGCCATCTATTATCAGTGCAAAAAAGGAAAATTAAACAAGACAATATATTCTCATAGTACAAACTGAGAAGAATGTTTCCTACAGGTATCCCCAAAGAAATGGGGTCCTTTCATTTTGGTTCATCCAGAAATAGGACTGCAGTCATGGATCTCAGCAAATATACTAAAAGCAGCATGCACCATAGACTCAGGCTGTCCTTGGAAATGGGCGCTTTACTTCTGCTTTTATGGACCTGACTGGAATTATTACTGACTCCTTTTGAGAATGACCAGGCAATACAAAGTTTGCTGCTTGGGCACAAATAATCCACCAATCTTTTTTAAATATACAACTAAAAGACAGTAATACTCTTACATTTCGAGAACTATACTTAAATGAAAACAAAGCTATTATTTTATAATCAAGTTGCATAAAACAAAACTTGATTTTATTCTACTGGACGCAATTTCTTAATCTGCTGGCTAAAGATAAATTCATTCTCCTTAGCAAAAAATTGTAGTACTTGTTTGGGGGCATCAGTGCCCAAGGATGGAATTTTACCAGGGATCACTTCCCAAGACCATTTGCAATGATAAAAGAGAAGATAATAAGCATTGAATGGTCTTATATATAAAAATGAGACTAAACTACTGTAAAAATAAGTGACAAAATAGAATATAAAATGTTACATGGCTTAACAAGGTACAAATTTAACATAACTAATAAAAATAAGGACTAGAATAGAAAATACATTTTTTTTTAGTTTTCATAGCAGGTGAATGATAATATATATAGTAAATTTTTAATATAATGATCCTGATCTTTACTAATTCCATAACTTTTCAAACTTAGTGAAATCATTTAAGAATTTCTCATTGCAAATGATCATTTATTTAATTACTGTAATTCCTTTGGTTTTTGTTTAATTGCATTGACTTCTGTTAACATCACATAATATTACTTTTATTTAAATAAAAACAGTATGTAGGATGATGCTATCTTTATAGTTTTTCCCTTATTTCTGTCTATAATTATATGTGGGGGAGGGGGGAGATATGAGTGTTTGTGCTTTGAAAGGGAGAAAAAAATGCCTGAAATGATACTCCAAATTATAATGATTATTTATGTATAGTAGGATTAGCTTTTTAAAATTTCTTCAATCTTTTCTTACTGCTTTTTTATCATGAGTTTTATGGACTGAGTACATTATCATTTAATGCAAATCTGTATTTTAAGAACTTGGTAGGGCAACAACATAGAAATCATGAATCTAACTCATAATAGCAAATCACATCTGCCTCCACGTATTTCTGTACTTATTCAGTCATTTATTCACTCATTTATTCAACCAATAACTGTCTAGTACCCACTATGTAGAAGAAATAAAAGGCATTAAATTATCCTAACTTCACAAATTTAATAAGAGAAAGTTTGGAGTAGATAATTATAAAGCAAATATAAAACACATAATATTCTATTAAAAGGCACTGATCATATGAAATTTAAAACCTAAAAGAAAAAAGCACAAATACCACTAAACATTTTAATTCTTTCTTAGTCTATAAAATTTTTTTGCAATATAGCAGGTAGTTTTTTGTTTTTTTTTTTTTTTTTAGGGTGGTGTCTTCTTGTCCCAGTCTTGAAGCAAAAATGCATTTCAACATAGTTGTATAGGATTGGAGTCCGTCTACTTAGAAAAGCCCTTCCACTTATTTATTTCCCATGCTAGGAAAAACTAACCTCTTTCACTCTGTTTTCTTGTTATCCAATACCTTCTACCTCAGAATATTCCCCTGAGTTACCTCCCTCTCCACAGCCTACCAGTCTAATGGACTTTTTGGCATAAAAGGGAAATTCTAATGCCTTCTTAGCATATTTTCCCCTATGAGCACATTTAATCAAATGACATAGCTCTAATTCTTCATCTGACAACTGTGTTGTTCTTTTTAAGGAACAATCTATAAGAATTTAACTGAACAAGCAAAGTGATGAAAGTCACCAGCTTACAGTAAACTATTTATCAGAAACATTCTAAATTTTGAGAAGGTGGGTATGAAATTTAAACAAAAATGATCACTGGCAAAACCCAAATAGAGATAAATATTCAAAAATATGTACATTGATTCACATCTTGGTTTACATCTGTTTTAGCTCTGGAAAGGGGAAAGCCCAGATAATAACACTTTGAAAAGGTTAAACATTACTTCCCCAGTTGCTTTTAGAAACCCACATATATAATGACATTTGTTGGCTGAGTCTCCCCATATGCCTTGAAAAAAAAGGTGGTAAACATTCTCAAAGATGATGCAAACTGCAGGTATGCAAAAAGGAAATGCTAAGAAGTATACTATTTATACAGTGTTGAAAGCTCTTAGGGATATGATTCAAAAGTATTTTAAAACCATTCTTTAAAACTTGAAGTAAGTACATCTAGCACCAAAACACAGATTTTATAAATATGAATGATGAACATTATATAAGTTATGAATTTCATATACCCTGCCATTTGGAAAGTGTTATTCTAGGGAAGACAAATAATGTGGTTATATATCACCTTTTTATTTTGTGATTATGATTATTAATACCAACAAAGAAGAAAGTGGTGGGGGCAGGGGAATGAAGTTGATTTATTTCAAGTACCTTTGATACAAGTACATCTAAAGATCTCTCCATACCAAGAAGAGAGCGGAGTGAGACAAGGAAGGAGAAAGAAGGAGCATGAGCATAATGAAAAGTGAGGTTGTAAAGTGGAAGCAAGAATGAGACATGTGGGCTTATAACATGGTGATGTTTTCCTACAAAATGGAAATTGGAACAATGACACAAGACACATACATAAAAGGTCACAAATAAAAGCCACCAGCCATGGTTAGGAAATGTGAAATTATTTAGTGCGTCAGGTACTGTCACCCAACATTCTCCACTAGTGCCACAGACACATGGGCCTGGCTGCTGCACTGCTCCTCATTGGAAGATCAGGTTTTAAGCTAAAGTTGCTATTCTTAAGCGCTTTAGCCAGACACTGTAACAATGAAGCATGATTCAAAGAACATAGTCTTTGTAGTCATGTAGACCTTGGTTCAAACCCACATCTTCCAGTTCTATTTTTAAAATTGCTTCACCTCTTGAGTCTCAGCTTCTTCATCAGCAAAATGTGTACAACCTTCAACTGGTTCACAGACCTGTGACAGCAAACAGGGTGATGCATGCAACACTCCTGCACGTGTGAGCTCCATTCCCAGTGTCCCTCTTTCACTTGGTTTTTAACCTAACACAATAAGGTTTTAACCTAAAACATTCAAAACTATACTCTTCCTAGTGCTAACAAAAAGAGTTGCTAATTGAAGTGTTAATATAGTGGTTTTAGAGACTATAAGCACGTACAGGTGATCTTTGATGGTTCCTTTCATCTCTGTGGAATATATCTGTCAGCCAAACAGGGAACAAGTGTGTGTCATGCAGAGGTGGCTGGACCTGACATGACTATATTTGGGATCTGGCCATGTACTAGTCATGGGCTCAAGGGAGAATCACAACTGCCCAGATCTCAGTTTCCTCATGGAGAAAATGAGAGTACTGAACTAGAGGAAGACACTTTCAGGTTCTAAAATGGCATTTTATTATTTAAATATTGCTTGAAATTCAATGAGGCTAAGCATTATAAGATGCAAAAGCTTTAAGTAGGAGGCCCACCTAAATATAAGGAACTGGAAAGCTTCCTAAAGAGAAAAGAGAGGGATACAAGATGATCGATTAGTAAGAGAACTATTCATGTATATCACATAAACACCATGATAAAAAAAAAATTACACAATAGTACAAAAGGTAAAACCTTGTCTAAGAAAACTGGAGGATAAAAGAGGAAGATGTGGAAATAGCCTGGACTAAGGAAGCAAGATAAGAGTCAGTAAGAAGCAGAACTTAAGCTCTCAAGCACCTCATGTTTAAAATTCAGATAATATCGCTTAATATTTATCCTGTCAGAACATAGACGCTATAAATAAAATCTCTTACAGATCTTAAGATGTCTTAAGGAGAGTCATTACTATACATTCTATAGTAAGATTAACAGTTTGATATAACAAAAATGCAAAAGCTAGAAAAAAGAAAAGGGGGGTGGATTTACAGAAGACAGAAGAGCTGAATTGAGAAGACTTTGAAATTAAAACTCTTTATCAATAGTATGGCACCAGTCTGATCCCAATTTTCCTCTCTAGTCTCATCTCCCATATTTCACCACCAATAAATCTCATATTCAGATTCAGAGAGCTACTCACCATTCCCTGATTTTGGTCCCAAATGGTTGCAAATAGGGGCTGGAGACTGAAAATAAAAACAAGATAGATCAAAACAGATATGAAAATCCACCCCCTTCCCTTGCTTCTCTAGCTCTTAAGATTTCTCTGTAACCTAACAGAATGTCTCAACACATCTAAAGGGAAAAAGCATCAAACAGAAGGCAGGGGAAGTGGGGGTAAGGGTGAGCTAAGAAGTCAGCAAAGGAATCAGAGAAGTCACGTAGGCAAAAATTCACAAGATCAAGCTAAGCCACAGGAGAGGAAGTCTTGGCTAAGTTGACTAGAATAATATGGTTTCCTTGGCAAAGCCATTCCTAAAGTGGGTAAGAGTCTCAAGCTAACTGAACTGAAAGATACTTCTTCAAACAAATATTCCTCCTGGTTCTCTTTCAATACTCATGAGGTGGTCTCTGCCAATATGGCTTCCCCCATTTCTTGCCAGAAGAGAGAGAGTGCACTGGTCAGAAATGTTGGACAAAGTTGACAGCTGTACTTCTCAATCATCAACTGACCTCCATATTAACAACTTGGCTTCCCAAGAAGTCTGCCTACAGGGAGATAAGGTACAGTTCTGCCAAATCAAGCAACGCAATCTGCTTGACAGTTGTATTTCTTGTTGGAAATTAATAAATTTATAAACACATGAACATATATAGATTTCTGTATTCAGTTTCTAAGAGCATGAGTAAGGTAACCAGGTAAATCAGTAAATAAAGGAATCAGCAAAACAGGTACCTAAAGTCAAATCCCAGACCCTGGACTACAATGACTCCACAAAGGAAAATCCAGTCACTAGAGGCTCATTGGCAACAACATACAGCTTTGCATAGCCTGCATCAAATGTCTTTAATGTTCACAGTACAACATATGGCATACGTATTTGTGATTTCATTCCTCTATTCATATAATATTTCCTCTTTCTAGAATATCTTCTACCCACTCCTTCTACACATAGAGAACTCCTGCTCCTCCTTTAAGGCGACAGCTCAGTTTGTCTGTCACATCTTCACCAACCACTCAGGCAAAATTAATCACATCCTCTTGAGTGCTACCATAGCAGCTGCCATGCATACCTCCCTCCGTTAGCACTCACAAACCAGACCAACCTGGCCCTCCATTACCCAGTGACCTCCCCAACAAAATCCATGTATTGATCTATCTTAACAACTCCATTTATGGTACTATGAATACTGGAAAAAGGAGAAGGTAAACAGCTGACTGAGGATAGCTCACAGATTGAGGTAAAATCATTCCATACAGGGGAAAATGGAAAAAATTAGTAAGGTGAAAAAGTGAGACTAGCTAAAGTCAGTGTGAAAAAGAGAACTAGGTCAAGAATAATGGGTTCACTGTGGAGGGTTATTGGAGAAAATGATGGAAAATAAACTCATGAACAAGTTATTGAAGATCCCGAAAGGTCAATAAAGGGGTACAAAGGGGATTAAGCAAGCTAAAGGAAGTCACAGTACGTTCTTAGAAAGAAGAGTTAACAACAAGGATTTGATAAATGGCAGAATGTGGTTGTAAAAAAAACCTGAAGTCAGGAGCCAGAGTTTGAGTCTCTACACCACCCCTACTCCCTCATATATCATGACGAGCAAGTTATTTCATTTTTGTAAGCCTAATTTATTTGTCTATTAAGTGGGGATAACAATATTTACCTTGCACAGCAGTTCAAGGATTAAATATTATCTAGCACAGCGACTGAGACACTGTACCAATCTCATAGCTGCTACTATGATTGGTTTTACAGACATTAATATAGCACTGTAAAGTGAATTAAAGGAGACTGGAAACTGAAAGAACATTTAACAGGAAATTACAGTCACTTGATTTGGACACAGGTAGAGACCTGAAATCAAAATACCTTGGTTTCACTAACATCTCCTCCCTAAACCAGCAACAACAATACCTCAATAGGTCACTTCCTCAGTACATATTTCCTGACCTGCAAATTAGTATAATAAACTCTACTCTTCCTATTTTACAAGTTTATTATATTAGTTACTTTAAACATAAATACATATATATTTGAAAGTTTTTCATAGACTGTAAGGTACTTTGGAGAAGATAATGAAATTAAGATGGGATAAATTTAAGGAATATTTTTAAGAAAGACTCAAGGATATTAGAGTTGGGAGATGAGGGAAGTGAAATAAAACAATGTCAAGATATAAGAAAATGCTTCTTTAAAACAAACTTACAAAGACTGAAATATTGTATCTGAAAGATTAAGAAAGCTCTCTTCTAAAGCAAAGGACACCAACTGAAAGCAGACAGAAGTTCAGGACTATAGCCTCGGTGAGGGGTAATGATGTGAAATGGAGGTCTGAGAACTGTCAGCAATATCCATCAGAGTGTGAGTTATGGGAAATGGTGATTTATCTATGACACAAATGCAAAGCAAGAAGAACTGAAGTTGTAAGGTTCAAAATGTAATAAGTAAATACCTAGCAAATGACAAGGACAACACACACACACACGCACACACACACACACACAAAGGTATTACAGGAAGAAGAATGGGGAGCAGAGTTCAAAGCAAAAACCCACAATAAATTGCTCTTGAAACTGAAAAGTCAAGGTCATGTGGCATTAGCATGTCAAGGCAATTGAGACCAGAGGGAAAAAAAACCTCTACAGTTGGCTAGCAAGTGGTCACCAGTGACCTTCAAGAACACAGTTCTAGTACAAAGGTGGGCTAAAAGCCAGATTGCAAGGAGTTAATCATAATTCTATGATCCTAACACAAAAAAGCAGTTGCCAGTAAACTGAAGGTGAAATTCACAGATAAGAGAAAAGCACATTTAATAATTGAAACAAGGGACAAACTTTATCTTGAGAAAGCTTCTTAGGATTTTTGACACTTCCACAGGAGAAAGAGGACATTGGTTTTTTTAAAATCTCCCAAAAGACATATAAAGTAGTAAAACATGGAAGTTAGATTTTTGCTGCAACTGAAGGACAAAAAAAAAAGAGAGAGACAGAAAGGTGAGTAGCTCTAACAGTGATCCAAATTTCTGATTACAATTAATTCACATACACTAAACAAGGTCTCTCAGTAACTAAATTACATTCATTACTCTGGAGAAGTCATAGTATTATCATTTATGTGAATGAATTGCTTATTACTAAAAAGAACAGTTAATAGCTTTACTATGTTGCATTTAAGTAGCAAATGTACCTTTCTAAAGCTCCAAATTTCCATTTGTATATCTTAATGCCTTAATGCCTATGTATAAAGGCCTCTTTATGGTTCTGTTCATAATACACAATGATATTTAATTTAAATAATACTCTGGGGCCTCCCTGGTGGCGCAGGCGGTTGTGCGCCGCACTGTGAAGCTGCCCACAGCCTCTGCAGCACAGGTTCGATCCCAGCCGCCAACGAGAATCCCACATGGCGCAGCAGATCTGTCGCGCCCACTGCTACCCTCAGCAGTGTATTTCATCAGTCTGCCTGTTCTGTTCCCCGCTCTGTCTCTGGTGAATTCTCTCACCCTCCTGTGCATCTGGCCTGTACCCTGGTTCTTGTATAAATAAATAAAAAATCTTTAAAAAAAAAATACTCTATTACTTTTAATTCCATTTCAAAGTATAATACATTCAAAACAATGTTTTAAAAATCGTAATAGTTCCAAACACATAATAGAAGAAGATAAATGAAATTCTCTTAAGAATTGTGAAGATCTCAACATCTACCTTGAGACATGTCTCCAAAAAAGAAGAGACAGGACAGCAAGGAAAGAGAAAGGTCTATTTGTATCTCAATCACAAAAACTTTAATTCCAAAAGTGTCTTTAATATCAAGTTAATTCTTATCATTTTTGCATGATAAAATGCTTTTCCAAATTAATAAATACAGATATATTTGATAAAATAAGATTTGGATCAGGTGGATCATTTTCATCCCCAAATTTACACACTTAGTATATAGAGTTAGGTCTTTTTTGCTTTCTAAATAATGACAAGATAACTAGAAAACACACCAAACAAAATGATGAAAGAAAAGATACAAAGTGCTAGGGAGAAAAAAAAATCCTAATCTCCTTGATTCTGACTAAGGTACAGTAAGAAAGAGCACAAACCAGAAGTCAGGAGCTCTGATTTTAGTGTAATCTTACCCACAAAAAAACCATTTAATTACTATACTACTCAGTTTCTACTTTTAGTAAAGAGAAATCTCACCTCTCCCAACTACTTCCAAAACTGTTGTGATGATAAAATGAAGCAGCATATGTAAGAAATATAAATAATTACATTTGTGAAGAATGACAACTATACACATATAGAGAAAACTTCACAAATACAAAGCAATGATTCATTAATCATTATTTTATAGTACAGATGGATTATTTTAATGCATACATACACTATCTTTATGCTTAACAAAATTTTAAACATTTTAACATCACTTCATCATTTCAATTAAACCCTGAACTTTAAGAACATACTTGGTTGCAAATGTCAATATAGTCAAATTTTTCATTATTCAACTAGAACTTCTACCTTATTCACAAGGTATTCTACCCAAGAAAAAAATAATAGCAGTTATATTCAAATCAAATAAAATAAATTTCTGAGCTGCTCTTTTGAAAATCTAACAAGAAAGAGAGGCTTAAATAAGTTATGCATTTAAGATTATTGCTATTTAATCTTATTTCCATTTAACAAAGTTCACATTCCCTAAGATTAAAAATACTTGATGTTTCTTCTTATTTGTCCGTATCGTCCCCACCAAATATGTAACTAAAATTTTTATTAAATATTGTTTTCCGGGTTGAACAAAATTATCCAAATGTACTTCTTTTCACTATAGAATAACCACAACTTTCCACCTGATTTTTAAGAGAGTGAATATAAAGATTTTCCTTACATTTTCAAGTAGAGGCTTGGTCTTCTATTGAACAAATAAAGTAACTTCATGGAAATAGCTGTTAGACAAAATCATCATGTCGTAAAACATAACAGCAGTCACAAGCATTTGAAAAGCACTTGAAGTGTGACCCTATTTGCTTACACTCT